TCTGCACTGTCACTGCCTGCCCAACATCTGCACTGTCACTGTGTGCCCAACATCTGCACTGTCACTGCCTGCCCAACATCTGCACTGTCACTGTGCACCCAACATCTGCATTGTCACTGCCTGCCCAACATCTGCATTGTCACTGCCTGCCCAACATCTGCTCTGTCACTGCTGTGCCAACATCTGCATTGTCACTGTGTGCCAACATCTGCATTGTCACTGCGTGCCCAACATCTGCATTGTCACTGTGTGCCAACATCTGCACTGTCACTGCCTGCCCAACATCTGCATTGTCACTGTGTGCCAACATCTGCATTGCCACTGCCTGCCCAACATCTGCACTGTCACTGCCTGCCCAACATCTGCATTGTCACTGCCTGCCCAACATCTGCATTGTCATTGTGTGCCCAACATCTGCACTGTCACTGTGTGCCCACATCTGCACTGTCACTGTGTGCCCACATCTGTGCCATGGCAAGAGCCTGCCTGGAAATGAATCAGGCACGAGGCAGTTTTTATATCCCCATATAAAGCAAACATGGAATAAATCAAATTATTGTTTAATATGCCTGATTATCCTTTAGTGCCTCTGCAGTCACATGGCATATGTCCTGCAGGGCCCTGTTTGCTCCTGTGAATGCGTCCTGGAGCTCCTAATGAAGAGAGATGGCACAACGAGTTCCTGCCAGAGCCAGAATCCAGGGGAAAAAATGAGCCATAATAGAGATTCCTGCTCTAAAGACTGTGTTAGCAGAGGCATAACTCATTTTGAAAAGGTGCATTAATTAGAACTTCCTTTCTCTGAAAACAGGGAGCAATCCCTTTTGCTGATTAATATTTATCTGAGAATCCCTGAGGTGGAAGCTCCTGAGCTCAGCTGCTCCCACCCTTGCTCAGAGCAGGCTCCACTCAGGGGCCTTGGGCCAGTCTGCTTTTTTCTTTCTCCAAGAATTCCCTTTCTCAGCCTGTCCCAAACCTATGGCAACACCTTAACTACCAAAAAGTGGATTTTCCTGTATTTAAATTAGATTTCCTGCATCATGGTTTGTGCCCACTGCCGCTCATCCCGTCACTGGGCACCACTGACATCTGATTGTGGGTTTTAAAGGAACTTAAATTAAAGCAACTCAATTCTAATTATTGTTTATATAAAACAAAACCTTTGAAAAAATATTTGCTGTTCTGAAAAAATACAGAAGGTACTGCTTAATCCAAAGTGTCTTTTTACAACTGAATCCTGCTCTTGATAGAGCACTTCATTTTCACAATGTGACAAAGCACCTTGCAGCCATAAATTTAGCAGTAAAGAGGATTTGAAAACCAAAAGAAATTACAAAGATTATTTGTAAGTAATTTAACAGTAATTTTTGGGTGCAGACACAAATGGGATGGAATCCAAAAGGTTTTGTGGGCTAAGATGCCTGAGATGAGGAATTTTCTGTCCAAGGGTACAGACTCAGCCACTGACCCTGGATTTAGGGTGTCACTGCTGGGTCACCCTGCCTGCATGTTCTGCAGCACCCATTGCTGTACCCACACAGGCACCCAGGAAAACATTGAATTTCTCTGTTTTGACTAAGTCTGAGAGGAGGAACCTTCTAAGTGCCCACACCACATTCACCTCCCAATGCATGATAAAGTCAAACAAGCTCTCCCAGCTCCTGCCCTGCAAATACCCTGGCAGGGAAACCAAGCCCTTGGTGGAGTCAGCTCTGCTGCAGCCTGAGAGCATCCCCAACCCCAGAGATTGAGATTCCACCCCTGCTCACCCTGCCAGGCCCCCAGGGACCCAGAGCTCACCTCTTCAAGCACCAGGGGGAACTTTGTGCCTTGGGTTCTGCTGTAAAATTAAATTCACACGTGGCACTCCTGGGCTCTTGAATTCAAAAGATGATTTTCACCTCCTCCTTGCTATTCTCAAGGAAACAACCAGCTCCACATGACTCATCATTTTGTGGGAGTTCAATGCCAAGGCTGCTTGCACACAAAAGAAAATCACGTAATTATACTAAATTTTGAAAATCAAAAACTTCTTTGTAATTGCCTCAAGATTATTTCATATTTCATTCTCAGAAGATGCTTCCCTGTGTAGCCATTTAGAAGGAACATTTATTAAAAAAGTTAATTACAGTTTCTTAAAGAATTAAAAAGGCTTTTTTGATCTTTTGGGGGTTTTTGGTTCCAAAGAATATCTCTGTTACATTCATGTCCAAATTTTGGGGTTATGTGTCAGTTTTGCCCAGATTTTTGACAATCTGATTAAGGAAATGTCATTTAGTTTTCCTAAATTTCCTACATTATATGTATCTAATCAGTAAAACATATTTTATTGAAGTAGTGTTGGGCAAAAAATGCCAAACACTGCATCTCTGCTGTTCTTAACAGTCCCTGAACTAATTTTAACTTCAGGAAAGTACTTGAAAATTAAAAAGGAAGGGGAAAATACAGAGGCATTTTTAATAACGTATTATTTCAACATACAGATGAAAACAGCCAGGAATTTCAAAACATCACTTAATGGAGGAGAGAAGGGCTGGGAAGAAAATGGATTAAAAAATTAAATTTTTTCCAGTTTCTGCCATATTTTTGTGGGGCTTCTTGGAGTCCAACACTGCCAATCCAGCAACCAGCAGCTATTTCTGATGTGTTGTTTCCCAACTTAAGCACAGTCTGTCACTTGAATCTCTAGAGAAAGTTATTGTCTAGAAAATCTGAACTGGTAAAGGGGGGAAACGAGCAGAGAAATCCCTTCTAATTACTGCTACATCCACCTGGGGACTGAGCAGGAGCATCAGAAATCTCTCCTTGTTCCTTGCAATAGAGTGGAACCAGAGGAAAGTCTCAGTTTGAACCCAGCCCTGCCCGGGTCCTGTTTACCAAAAGGAATTTCAGGGCTCCAGGCAAGTGGGGAGAGGCAATAAAGGACTTCCCATAATTTAATAACCAGTCACAGAGTTCTGTTTAGGCAATTCCAATGCTTCAGAAAATTGGATTTGGATGAGGTCTCTGCTCCTTAATTTGCTCTCCCTTTGCATTTCCTGCAAAGGGCTGCTCCATAACGCACAGCCCCCAGGTGTTTTATTGCCTTTGTGACAGCAGAGCCCTGCTGGTGCTCACCTGAACGGGCACAAATTCTGGGTGCTGGCACTGCCTGGGGTGTTCACCTGAACGGGCACAAATTCTGGGTGCTGGCACTGCCCGGGGTGTTCACCTGAACGGGCACAAATTCTGGGTGCTGGCACTGCCCGGGGTATTCACCTGAACGGGCACAAATTCTGGGTGCTGGCACTGCCCGGGGTTTTCTCCCACCTTTGGCACTCCCTGCCTTCCTCTGGGTGCTCTGCAAAGCAGCTCCTCCTCTTCCTCAGCTTCCCCTTTGCCTCTGCACCTGGGAGCAGAGCTCAGGGAATTCCCAGTGTGCCTGGAAGCAAAGCACAAAGAATTCTCATAATGTATATTATAATAATATTATAATATTATAATAATATTATTATAATATATTTATTATTATAATAATGTACCTGGGAGCAGAGCACAGGGAATTCTCAGCCTGGTGTCCCTGGAATGCTCAGCCCAATGCTCTTGGAAGGAGAGCACAGGGAATTCTCAGCCAAATCTTCCTGGGAACAAAGCTCAGGAATGCTCAGCTCAGTGTACCTGGAATTCCCAGCCCAATGCTTCTGGAATTCTCAGCCCGATGCTCCTGAAAGCAGAGCTCAAGGAATTCTCAGACCAATGTACCTGGAATTCTCATCCCAATGCCCCTGGAAGCAAAGCTCAGGGAATTCTCAGCCCAATTCCAGAGGAATTCCAATGTACCTGGAATTCCCAGCCCAATGCTTCTGGAATTCTCAGCCCAGTACTCTTGGAAGCGGAGCACAGGGAATTCTCAGCCCAGTGTACCTGGAATTCTCATCCCAATGCTCCTGGAAGCAGAACTCAGGGAATTCTCAGCCCAATGCCCCTGGAAGGAAACCACAGGGAATTCTCATCCCACTGCTCTGTTCCCTCTGCTTTGGGTTCAGCTTTGAGCCCTTCCAAAGGCACCTGGTGGGTTCACAGCTCCTGCCTGCGGCCTGGCTGGATTGCAGCCTCGTCATTGCATTCCACCGACCCCAAACTCCCCCTTTGGCTCAGAAATGGGAATTTTTGCCATTTTCTGAGCTCTGATGCTTTGCTTATGAACTCCCAGAGAAGCTGGAGAGAAAGGCAGGCAGGATTTGGCTCGCTGGTCTAAAACCATTGCCTACAATGCAGCAATTGTCCAGGAGAGCCAGTGAAACCACCAGCAAAGGGCTGGGCTGGATTCTGAACCAAAGCTGCTGCAGGCCCCTTTCCAGACTGTGCCAGCCCTTCAGCTCCTGCTCTGCTTTATTCAAAGTGCTGGGGAATGAAAATATTTTGATATGGAATCTGGGACCCACAAGCAAACGCCCAATATAAACTTTAGAATAACATTCCCCCTTTCTGAAAACTATTAAATGGCTCCATTTTTCTTTCAGTGGGGAATTAAAGGTTTCCAAAACTTTGTTTTCCAGGCAAAAGAAATGTCAGTCAGTAGTGGAATTTGCTTTTCAGGCCCTAATGTAAATCTTACTCCTGGACTAGAGGAGTGACCTGAATCTTCCAGAAGTTCTAGCTTTTTTCTCTATTAACACCTTCCTGCCATGTGAATTTTCATTGAAATATATTTCTAGACATTTGTAGTTCTCTACTTCATGATTAACAAACTGATCATGGAGTCTAAAGGGAGATAAACAGTCAGAAGGACTGACATTGGGAAGATAAAAGCAGTTTAACATGAGTTAAATATGAACTATTAAGCAGTAACGTTTTTGAGACTTCCAAAATCTTTTGGTGTTTAAAATTTAAAGCCAGAACAGAGAAGAATCATTAATAAGAGGAATAAAAGTGGCATCTTGATGTGTATGGGAAGAGTGGGTATAACCATGCATACAAAAATCTTGTCTTGAAGAAAGATCATCAGAACACGAATAAAATGAGAAAAAATATGAGATAAAGTTAAGAGAGACAGACAAAAGGAAGTAAAAGGAGGGCAGTGGAAGAGGAGGTAAATTGACATCATTTGCTGCTCAGCATTTCGATTATTTTCCTTTAGCACCCCAAAAATGTCCTTTCTGTGTGACCCCATGGCCACACACAGCACCCCAAAAACGTCCCATCTCTGTAAGCCCCTGTGCCACACACAGCACCCCAAATGTCCCCTCTGTGTGAGTCCCATGGCCCCACACAGAGCACCCCAAATGCCCCCTCTGTGTGACTCCCATGGTCACACACAGCACCCCAAATGTCACCTCTGCCCTTGGTATCAGCCAGGAAAGCTCTGTAGAACATGGGAGTGCTGGGATCAGAGCTGGTGGGTGACAATACAAACTGGGGGCCACAAAATCCTGCCTCAGCTCTTTGTGTCCCTACCAACTCTCACACCTCGGGAAAAGTCACTTAACTCCACTAAAAGCCCACTAAAAACTTTAAAACACCACTTAACTCCACTAAAAGTCCACTGTATCTCCAAGGAAGAGAGTCCAAACCAAAATAAACAGTGCTTCCCAAGCAGATTCAGTCTCTGCTGCCCTGAAAATGCAAAAGCAAATAAAAGCTGGATATCTGGGGTGTGATGTGCTTGAACAAATGAACAAAATGCACATTACAGTCATCTCTGTGTGTGTGTGAATGGTTCTCCTTCTACAGCCAGAGCATAAGGGGGCCAAATTCTGATTTTGGGGCAGGTTATCAGCACAAGGACAATTACAGTGTTCATCTATGTGCACTGAGTGGGTACCATGGAAAATTGCACCCACACTCATTAGATTGGAATTTAGTAAATCCATTCGATTAGAAGTTAGTGACACCAAACATTTCCCACCAAGCTGGAACTTAGCCCTGTCCTTTGACTTTCTCCTGTAGTTTTTTGCGCATCTGTTCTGTGTGGCAGGACAGGCACCAAATCCTGTTTTTCCTGGGCATTTTGGGCCTCCTAGAGCAGCCTGGCTCCCTTGCTTCTCATTGATAACATTTGCATCTGCTGCACCTGACTGTCTCTGATCATTCTCCCCGTGCTGATGCTTTACCTCTTCCCTTTGAATTCCTGCAGATGTTTGCTGATTCCATGCAAACTGCCTTTCAAACAACTACAGATTTGCTCCAGGATGCACTGGACATCAGGAGAGGATTTCACTGGCAGCAGGTTTCCCAGCTGATGGAGACACAGAATGCTCAGAAAAGGAATTTGGTTTTTGCAGGAGGGAGGAGGGCTCCGCTCCTCTGTTTCTCCCTGTGCTCGTCTCTTTGCAAATGAAACTCAGCACACTGGCTGCTTGAGGAAAAGCACCATGAATACCAAGCCAGCCCTGAGCTGCAAAGGAATAAAAAATGCATTGGTTCTAGTTAAAATCGATTTTTGCCTTGGAAGTAAGTATTGGATTCACTTTCTGTCTCTCTCTCCCCAAAACACTCTGGGCAGATGGAAAATATCACTGTAAGTGCTGTACAGTGGAGTGGTAAATAAACAACCAAGCAGCCCAGAATCATGCTGGGAGTGTCAGGGAGACTCATGCTCATTGTTTCCCTGCAGAAGGGGGAAAGCCTCTGGAATTAATTCAGAGTTCTTCTGTGGTGATCCAAAAAATGAGGGAGGTTCTCCTTCCTCCCCCAGTTCCAATGAGCTGTAATGGAGCAGAGGAGTTTCCAGAACTGCAGAGTCCCAAGGACTGTGGAATTATCAAAAGAAAAGAGAATAAATGGAACATGAACAAATCCATTTGTGTTCTGAGCAGAATTTTGAAAAAGTTTTTTCATTGCCCTTTTTAAAAACAACAAGGTCACAAAGGTTTGCATGAAATTACAGAAACAAGGTTTTGTATGCTGAGTAACAAACAGAGCAGCTGCTGGATTCTTCATGCCTCTCTTTAAGATAAAATAAATGCCTGATCTGAGTC